GCGCTAAGGGGCCGTGGCGTGCGGCCGGTCGCCGGTCACCCACACAAGCACGGCACAGGGGAAGCCAGCAGACTGATTCCGAGAGTCGTTTTCGTCGCTCAGTCTCTCTCGCACCTGAACGCTGTACGGGACGCTCCATGAGTGCGAGAGAGACAGAGCGACCGAAAACGACTCTCGGAATCAGTCTGCAGGCGCCAGGCCCCTATCTCTACCTCCGGCACCGCGTTCCGTGGTCCAGTAAGGGAGTATGGGGCGATTTGTAACAGGGGCGATTCGTAACACATGCGTTTATTAATTTAAGTGGAGGGAGCAGAGGAAAATCTGAGTATGGCCCCTTTCGCTTCAAGTACAGGGTCCTTTACAATCAAAGCGGATGTGATCGGTGCTCAGGTATAGTTTGGAGGGCGTCTGAAATTTAGGGTACACCGAAAAAGGGTAAATCTTTTATTTGAGTTCTAGGAAGTTTCTGTCTGAGGCCCCAGGTATGAATCACCATCGAAGTACTGGGGGGCCTTGAAGCGTGACCCCTTTACAATGTAACCACGTGGCATAAGGTGCTTTTACTTTGTCCAGTGATAGTTAGGGACGTATTTCTTGCGTAGCCGGCAATTGGGGTGATTCGTAACAGACCCGTATAAAACAATAATTTAAGTAATTTTTGCAATTAAATGCTTGAATTATTTCTCGAATCATTGCTGCTAATTCCAATACATTTACACAGTTCAAAATGCATTTTAAAGCGAGTTATTCTATTATTTCCTCCAAAATTGAAAAAAGTGAGGTTAGGGTTGACATAGCCGGTCAGTTTATGCTGAGGCGGTCAAGGGCAGCTTGTAATGTAGATTTTAAGGCGTCTGTAGGACATCCGAAGAAAAACTGCTGGAGGAGATAACATTCCCGACGATGTTTCATTTAATGTGTAGGCTGTTATGAAAAGCCCAAGGCTGTTACAAATCACCCCATGCTGGGGCGATTCGTAACAGCATGCAAGGGTTTGGAAAGCGTCTTAGATTTCAAAGATTACGGACTCCAGATTGATCCAACGGAGCTGCACAGTCTAGATGAAGGGCCAGATTATTAACTGGCACAAGTTTGACACCGATATGCAGAATGTTCTTAATTTGTATAGAGAATTCCAAAATCTGTTACAAATCGCCCCATACTCCCTTATATTTCCGTCAAGGCGCCCTGTTCGTCCTGCTTTTATGTCGTCTACATATGAACGTTCTGAGGCTTGGTTCTAATGAAGTCACGGTTGTGGTTGTGGTGCCCCACAGGCACTGGTAGGCACTGATAGAAGAACATCAAAATATATAACTTGATTCTGTTATTGATTTTATTACGAGGATAAAAGTCTGCAGAAATGAGGAAATTAGTAGGCTTTTTTTTTCAATGAAATTAATCAATATATTTGATGAAACGTTTACATTGTTTTGGTGCATAGTTTTAACTTTGAACGTACATGGAGAAGAGAATAAAGTTTAGAGTTAAAGCTTGACGCCATCTGCGCCAACGCCATGCCATTGCATCCGTCGCACAGGCACAGCACCTGCAAAGAAAAATAAACGATATTTTAATAACACAGGCACGATTTGGGGGTTTAGTCGGTGCGCTGGAATGGCTAGCTTTAGGACCACGACCACGATCTACGAGACCACCCACCACCGAACAGCATGGAGTGTCGGAAGGCATCACGGTGATGATAGTGATGGCGGTTGAACGGGGAGGGGGGCATCAATACCAAAAATAACCGCGTCGCCACGACTCGCCCATGATCACGCGACAAGCGAGCCCAGGGGCGGTATGGGCTGGAAGCGCGACTTGAGTGAACTGCTCATACATGCGCACGCCGCACGCCCAAAAGCGCACGCGGCGCGGCGGCCGCATGGGCCTCGCAGTGCGTAGCGGACTCCACGGCGGGGCGGGAGCTGCCCACGCCGCGGAGCAGCGGACACGGACCCGGCGGTCCGGCCATAGGCCAACGGGCGCGCCGCGCCGTGGCCTGGGGCTGAGCACCACGCATGGCTACGCATGGACATGGTGGACAAGACCATCAGACAGGCGGCGTCAACACCACTGCTGGTCCAGGACAAGGCGGCCAGCCTCCAGTCCCTGCTGCCTCCCGGTAGAGTGGTGGCCAGCTGGTCGCGCGGCGCCGCACAGGACGGCGGGCAGCGCCGGCGCCAGTTCAGCCACAGCTCCGTGGACCCCTTCTACACCAGCGATGGTGTAGATGGTGATCGCGGCGGCGCGGCGAGGCGAGGCATCCTGACAGACCCGGACGGCCCGCGCGAGGTGGAGCACATGGTGCAGAGCGTCGTGTCAAACGTGAAGCTCGTCGCGCAAGACGTAGGCCAGGCCACGACTTGACCACGGGATTCCAGCACGGCGCACCGTCCCCGTCGGCCGTCGTCCACCAGGATGCCCATTCACGGTCACGGCGCGTTGAGCACGGCGCGGCCCAAAGTGCGGTCCAAGAGCACTATGCTCTGCGCGGGCGCCGGAGTGCAGTCAGGGGCAGGGCAGTGCCTGGCCTGGCCAGCGCGGCCTACGCTGTTGCGTCTCTCTCCGTCTTCCCCTCCCTTGACCGCCCCTTTCTCCCTCGCACATCGCAAATACCTTCAGCATTTAAAACTTATTTTCTCTGTGGAGACAGTAATATTTTTAGAAGCAGTAATCAGTGGATGATTCCGTGATTCAAACTGTACCGGCTGTCCCTTTAGAAGCAGACTAAAATCTAGCTGACCTCATTGAAAGTTGGTGCTTCCCAGCTACAAGTAAGAAGAACATAAATAAGACAGGTCGTAGGGGGGGAGCCGCGAGGCGAGGGACCTGTTAGATCTTGTTGACGTTCCACTGGTAACAATTCAACCGGCCGCGAGCATCACTGTGAAGGAAAATGAGTGATCCTCCTCCTAATCCTGTCCTGCGACGACGACGACAAACCGAAGCACCGTCCAAAGTTATTTCATTATGACAAAACTTGAATGAAAGCAGATGCGTCATCCGCGGATGTCGGCGACCCAAAATCACGGTGAGTGCAATTTGACCCAGCACCCCACCGCCAAGTGAAGATTGTATTCGTTTGCCCCATACATTGGTTAATTGTTTCCCTGGAACCGTTTAAAAGGGCGCGACCTTCGTTAACAACAGGGTCTATTCGAAGAAAGATCTGTTTTGTACTAAATTTATACGGGGTTGAGGGATGGTCCCCACGTGCCGGGCGGGGTTGGGCGCCGGCGCCACACCAGCCGCGGCCAGCCGCGCCGTGCTTGGCTGGGTGGGGCCCATTATTGCCAGTCTCTCGTATTGTCGCAGTATTTATTCTGCGCTGGCGAGCTGGCGGTTCTGATCCATGCCGTCACTCCTTTCACTCGCACTCATGGGGTACCCCGCATAGGTGCGAGTGAGACAAAGTGACGAAACGCTCTGTAGAATCGCCAAGCAGCGCAGATAACCGTCCGTCCTATGTCTACACTCTCATTAGGGGTGTTCTGAAACTTAACGCCTTAGTGGCTTGCCTTAGGTTTTGTACTGTTGAGTCGCCTCACCACGTAACGCCAAAAGGCGCCTCAAAAAAAACACACACTAAATTCTTGTGGACTTTTTTATGCATAGTTTGCATGCTCAGAAACGTCCATATGTTTTGCATAATATTATGCATCACTGTGTACATTTTATGCAGGAAGATGCATAAAATGTACACAGTGATGCATAGTTTATACATAACATATGGACGATCTGAGCAGCATAACTATGAATAAAAACTGCGTCTTTATGCATTTAAAAAGTCCATAAGAATTTAGTGTGCAAAGCGCCTTATGCGCTCTCTTTTGAAACACCTTGGACCCAAACCACTGCATGAGATAGCAATGCATGGCTGCTATGACTCATTCGCAAAGGTGCGTCCCATGTTAACACCTTTCACTTTGATTTTATTAGTGGGGGTGCGCCCAGGCCAAACACCCCTGCTGCACTATGCATGCAGCGCAAGGTGTATGCTGTCCATACACCTTGCGCTTTCTGTGCATGGCAGTTGACAAGGTGCGTGGAGTCCACTACTTTAGCCCAGGCCAAAGGTGTTTGGACTCCACGCACCTTGTCAACTGCCATGCACAGAAAGCGCAAGGTGTATGGACAGCATACACCTTGCGCTGCATCCATAGTGCAGCAGGGGTGTTTGGCCTGGGCGCACCCCCACTAATAAAATCAAAGTGAAAGGTGTTAACATGGGACGCACCTTTGCGAATGAGTCATAGCAGCCATGCATTGCTATCTCATGAAGCAAAAACCTAAAACCTTCTCCTTTTGTTGCAGGGAAAACACAGCGGGAACCTTGCAAAACACATACGCAGAAAGCACAAGGATTACATACCTGCATTCGAAAGGGAGTTGAAGAAATATCAACGGGGCAAAGTTCAGAAGAAGGCCTCTAAAGGTGGAAAGAAGCACCTCAAAGTTTCCCTGGACCCCAGGAAACTGAAGCTTGCATGTGTGAGGCTTGTGGCAGTTCATGGACGACCATTCTCACTGATGAACGATGCAGCCTTTCAGGACATCCTGAGTCCCATCCTTGACGCAATGCCTGCAAGAGAAAGGTAACTATAATTTAGCGGGTCAAGATTTGTTTTGTTTTTTTACACCAATCAAATATTATGTTCTTATTTATAGGTTTGCTATCAATGACGAGTCAGTCAGAAGAATGGTCCAGGAAGAGGCTGAAAGACTAAGGAAATTCATCAAGTCTGAAATTCGTGGAAGAGTGATTTCTCTCAAAGTTGACTCGACCTCCAAGAACAACCAAAACTTCTTCGGAGTGAATATTCAGTTTTCTGAAGGTGGAAAAATCCATCTCAGAACACTTGCAGTGAGACATTTACTTGTGAGCCAAACAGCAGGAAATTTGAGAGCAGAGATTTTAAGTATTTTTGCATCGTTTGGAATTAAAGTTGCACAGCTATCGTCTTTTACCTGCGATAACGGCCCCAATATGTTGCGAGCAGCAGACCTCCTCAAAGGTGACCAGGAAGAGGAACAGCAGCTGTGTGACGAAGACCAAGAAGATGTGGAGATGGAACTTAGTGAAGATGGTTTTCGCCTCAGTAGTGTCAAATGCTGTGCTCACACATTGCAGCTGGCTGTAACAGACGACAGTTTGAAAAAGTCAGAACAAGACATGAAGCTGCTTGGCAAATGCAGAGACGTTGTAAAGTATTTAAAAACAGATCAGCAAAGGAAAAAAATCAAGAAAGCCCACCTTCCATTGCCTTTGCTGGACAACGCAACTCGGTGGAATACGTCCTTCAACATGCTTACGTCTCTGCAGAGACTGAGGGAGTACCTCACAAAGGACGTTGATGAAGAAGATCAAGTCCTAACTCCCCAGGAGTGGGATGATGTTGAGGTCCTTGTGCGCTCATTGGAGCCTGCCATGGTGGCCACCAAGCAGCTGCAGGCAGAACAACTCACACTAAGGGATATGTATGGTGTTTGGCTCACTTGCAAACTGAAGTTGCAGAAAATTAACACCCCACTTTCAAATGCAATAGCTGCAAATATGACCAAGAGAGAGCGAAGGCTAGTGTATGCCAGAAGCCATGTCAATGCTGGCAAAGAGAAGGTACCGGCCCTCTTCGAGTATCCTGGCTTTGAGGCTGCAATTCTCCTGGACCCACGATATTTCTCCATCTTAGAGCCAGAGGAAATTGTCTCAGCCAAGTCTTACATCCGCAAACTGCACGCCCAACTTGAGAAGTTAAAGAATTCAGATGTTGCAGGCGATGATCAAGAAGAGGTACCAGATGACTCTAATGATGGCGAAGAAGGTGAGGACGAAGTGGAAAAGCTGTTAAGACAAAAAGACGAATTGCGTCAGGGTCAGAGGAACAGGGCCAGGGTTGATATAACGTCTCAAATTGACGCGTATTTCAGTGAGACAGCCCGAATAAAGGATAGAAATACTCCAATTCTTGAGTGGTGGGAAGGAAGACAGAAAATGTGGCCAGAGCTGTACTTGATTGCCAAAATTCTTCATGCAATTCCCGCCACTCAAGTAAGCGTCGAACGCCTTTTTTCTGCCTTGAGGTTTATCATGCACTATCTTCGAGGTGGTCTTGATCCTGACATGATCGAAGATCTCATGCTAATATACAGCAATTCCAGTTTGGTCAAACAAGATGTACTTACCTTGATAAATCCCAGTGATGACAGCGACAGCTCCTCTTCAGATGGCGAAGATGAAGAAGCTGGAGAAGGTGAAGAAGTTCCAATTGCCGGAGCCAGTACCAGCTCTTCAAGTCTCAACGACTCAACTTTATTCGATGACATGGACTTTGAATGAGTTCTTGAATCTCTGGTAGTAACTGTAAAACAGATGTTTCTAGTTTAAACATTGAATTTCATTGCACATGTTTTATTTAAAAATTGAATTTCATTGCACATGTTTTCTTTAAAAATTTCTGACAAGCCACATTCTTTGTTGGCACACATTCTTTTCCTTTAAAGAAAATTTTGCAATGACAATTCAAGAACAAATTTACTTTACTCAGATGTGTCATAAGTCTAGTCTTACTTTCAATATTTTGACACAGTGAATTAAGTTTGTATTTGAATTTGTATTGTCCTGTATTTATTTTGTTTAAGAGCTCTGACTAGTTTAACAATTTTTAACTAGTAAGTTATTATTACATCATTTCAAGACAATTTAGCTATGAAAGTTCATGAATGAATTTGCTCAATTGCCAGTCTAGTCTTGCCTTAAATATTTGGACAAAAATGTGTCTATTTTGTTTAACCGATTGCCACGTAAGTGACTTGTAACTGGAAATCATTTTTATTTTATGTTCGCTATGACGGTCCATTTAAGAGAGTTGGTTAGGTTCAATTCAAGACAATCTTTGAGTCATTAGTCTTAGTTTTAGATTATAGAAAATGTCTATCCATCTCTGAATTTTGCCCCCCAAATAATTTATGAATTATGTTTTGACTGAATTAGCTTACCTTGAAAATTGAATTTGTACCGATGAAATCCCATTGTAATTTGGGTACCATTCCAGCACTTGTACACACTGTTTGGCATTAAAAGTAATGAGTTTGCCATAACCTAAATCTTGACTCCTTTTTGTGAATATATTCCGTCGCTAGCCCTGAAAACGCAAAGCAAAGGTCTTGCACATTGCATCTTTGTAGATTGGGAAGCTAAACGGTTTGTTCTGGTTGATGCCAATATTTACCTACTGGGAAAACAGAAATGCCACTTTCCCTAGTTTGCATTGAGCTGTCTGCGTTTTACAAATTAGAACACCACGCGCGAGGAGAGCAAAGATATAACGGAGAAGAGCAATCGCCTCTCCAAAACTTGAACATGCCACAGCGACAATAGTATTAACTAGAAACTAGAAGCATGGGAACCCTAGCAACAGCAGCAACAGTAACTCGAATTTGAATCGTCACGACGGGCAGTGGTCACGTGTCACGAAAACCTTGGGAAACCACAAGAACAAAAGATGAACCAGGCCAGGCCGCGGGAGAGTTAAGGGCCGCGCTGCCGCGCCTGACCTGACAGTCGACAGGTATTAGGATCCACGGTGCAGGTACAGTAGGGGTGGGGGAACTGAGATGTGAAGAGGAAGAAGGGAAAGCTTACACACAAGGCACAAGAAATCACAGAACTTATTGAAAAATTTTGGTGTTCTTTAGAAAAATGCTATAATAACTGCTGACCAGCATATAGATAATAAAAGCGGGTGAAGAGTAAAGGTAAAGGTTGTCCGGGACCAACACAAATTTTGCTCAAGAAAAAATTAATTTTCTATGTCAAAAATTGTGTACCAGTGCACTATAAACAGCTTATGATACCTTGCAGACACGTATTTATAGCATTGATTTGTTAGAAAGTATGAATTCGGGCTTCGTCATCATTTATTTAATGGTTTAGAGTTTAGATAGGCTTAAGGGAGTATGGGGCGATTTGTAACAGATTTTGGAATTCTCTATACAAAATTAAGAACATTCTGCATATCGGTGTCAAACTTGTGCCAGTTGAATAGTCTGGCCCTTCATCTAGACTGTGCAGCTCCGTTGGATCAATCTGGAGTCCGTAATCTTTGAAATCTAAGACGCTTTCCAAACCCTTGCATGCTGTTACGAATCGCCCCAGCATGGGGTGATTTGTAACAGCCATGGGGCTTTTCATAACAGCCTACACATTAAATGAAACATCGTCGGGAATGTTATCTCCTCCAGCAGTTGTTCTTCGGATGTCCTACAGACGCCTTAAAATCTACATTACAAGCTGCCCTTGACCGCCTCAGCATAAACTGACCGGCTATGTCAACCCTAACCTCACTTTTTTCAATTTTGGAGGAAATAATAGAATAACTCGCTTTAAAATGCATTTTGAACTGTGTAAATGTATTGGAATTAGGCAGCAGATGATTCGAGAAATAATTCAAGCATTTAATTGCAAAAATTACTTAAATTATTGTTTTTATACGGGTCTGTTACGAATCACCCCAATTGCCGGCTACGCAAGAAATACGTCCCTAACTATCACTGGACAAAGTAAAAGCACCTTATGCCACGTGGTTACATTGTAAAGGGGTCACGCTTCAAGGCCCCAACAGTACTTCGATGGTGATTCATACCTGGGGAGCCTCAGACAGAAACTTCCTAGAACTCAAAATAAAAGATTTACCCGTTTTCGGTGTACCCTAAATTTCAGACGCCCTCCAAAACTATACCTGAGCACCGATCACATCCGCTTTGATTGTAGAAGGACCCTGTACTTGAAGCGAAAGAGGGGCCATACTCAGATTTTCCTCTGCTCCCTCCACTTAAATTAATAAACGCATGTGTTACGAATCGCCCCTGTTACAAATCGCCCCATACTCCCTTACTAGAAATTGTTTTGCACTGTAGCGTACAAACAATGCAAAGAAGTAACATTAACACTTAATTATTAATAATTTCAGTTTTATTCCCTCTTGTCCATCTTTACACTTTTACTCGCGCTGCTCGCTGGGGGCTCCGCCCCCAGACCCTCGCATGTGTCGAGCGCGTGCCGAAGTATTTTCAGTAAGTCCGTGGTAAGCAAAGGCAAATTTTCTAAGGAAGTAAATGTCCTGCTTCTTTGAAAGCTCTATTTAACCGCTTTTGACCATATAATAAGGCTACTTTTACTGCTCAAATAGATAGCTTGTATTGCATTGGCTACTGTGGCAGTCAATGGGTGCATACAAGGTCCGGAAAATATTAAAGACTGCTTTGACAAGGATAGAGGTGAAGGAAAAAAACCTTAAGTCTCTACGACCACTCCTCGACCCCAAACATTTCTTTGAGTGAGTAAGTGAGTGAGTCAGTCAGTCAGTCGGATTGGGGCTATATAGATTCTTGAAGATGATTGCCCAATTGCCGGTGGCGGGGTCCCGATTACGGCACAGTTTCGGAAATTCTCGACCAGACCTACCGATGGGGCGAATAAAATTTTTTAGTCATTCGGTCCCCTTTTTGGAAGATTGAGTAGCTTTGCTCGGAAACAGTGAGAAATTTTCAACTTTTGAGATTTTTCCCAATTTTCCCATTAAATTTGGAATCGAATGGAAAAACCCGCAGGTCTCTACGACCACTCCTTGACCCCCAACATTTCTATGAGTGAGTGAGTCAGTCGGTCGGATTGGGGCTATATGGGTTCTTGATGATTGATGAGTGAGGGAGTCAGTCAGTCGGATTTTGGGGCTTTATAGGTTCTTGATGACAATTGATGATTGATTTTGAGTATGTTGCCGGTGACGGGGACCCGATTGTGGCACAGTTTCTGAAATGTCTCGACTTGATCTACCGATTGGGCTAATAAAAATTTTTAGTCGGTCGGTCCCCTTTTTTGAAGATTGAGTGGACTTTGTTAAATTTAGGCCTATTTAATCGTTTTTTAGGATGTTGCCGGTGACCAGGACCCGATTGCGGCACAGTTCCAGAAACCGCTCGACCAGACCTACCGATGGGGCGAATAAAATTTTTTAGTCGGTCGGTCCCCTTTTTTGAAGATTGAGTGGACTTTGATAAATTTAGGCCTTTTTAATCGTTTTTGAGGATGTTGCCGGTGACGGGAACCCGATTGCGGCACAGTTTCGGAAATGTCTGGACCAGACCTACCGATCGTCATCGTCATCGGCGCTGTTAGGCCTCAGCAGACCTCTAGCGTTCGAGTAAGCAGCTACTGGAAGCGAAGGACTCAGACTGCAAACCTCAAAAATGCAGGCAGAGTCCCGCCCGCAGCAACCACCCTCTACTTGGGGGGTATGAGGACAACCTCCACAGACCGTGGAGGCAGGACTCATCCCAAATTGATGAAAGTGAGGTTCGTTGCCCTTTGACCCTTGGAAAGTGGGAAGGCCCAGTCAACATTTCGTACTACGCGGTACCTCCATTGGAGGTGCCCTCAGAGATATCGTATCATCCCCTTTAGTAGCACTGGTGAGGTACTGTTTGCCCAAAAAGGGTAGTCTGCTGGCTGTCCTCGGCATCATCCATCTGTGGTACGGGCCTAGTACAACCCCGTACTACCATTCCGTACCTCGGCCGGACCACCACTGGACTAGCGGTCGGCCCATGCAAATTCAATAATATTTTGACGCTAGGGTGAAGATCTTCACTTGAAAGGGTGTCAAAGGACCCGAGGAGGAAGATACCTCGATTCAAAAATTGGTTGGAGGATATTTCTGATTATGTCAGAAGTCACTCCGACTCATTGGGACAAGTCTGCTGTACCTAATGAAAATGCGACCCGTGGCATGCAGCGAGAGGAACCATTCAATTGTCGATTGCTCCTCTAGTAGTTTTGATACCGCCGTAAATTTTTACAGCGGTGCATCGCACTCATCTTAGCACTTCAGTTCCCATCTATTCAGAACTTTCAGTACACTACCTTTTGGCTAGAAGAGCCTTTTAACTGTAACAGGGGACTTAAGCGACACCAACGCCATCTAGCGAACAATACTGAGAGTGCAATCCGCCATCTAGTCCTGACCCACCGTCGTCCCTGGTACTGTCGTGGTACAACGGTAGTCCCGATACGTACCTTGCAATGCACGCCTACTGCCACCTTTCTAGAGGTAATAAGCAACCAGATATCACCGTGCGTGTAATTAGTACCGGTGTGTCACGCAAGGACATTCCATTTTCAAACTAAAAATTTTCTCAAAAAAGTGAAAATTTCCTTTAAAAAATTAAAAATTGTCAGGAAATTAAAAATTTTCTCAAGAAATTGAAAATTTTCTCAGGAAATTAAATTAAATTCACTACCGATTTTATATATATTTTTGCAATGGAATTCCCCAACGTCCCCAATTCCCCAAAGTAATTTGTCGCATTTCTGGTTGCATTTAACCTGTACAAACGCGACAAGTACACGGACATGTGCATGGTCCAGATTCGGACTACCTCTGTACTATGGAGGGACTAGTGAGTGCGACCAGTAGGACCAAGATGGCGGAGTAGCGTTTCCCGCACTTTTCACGTACCAGACCGTAGTACACCACTACTCCAGCTGACATCAGATATAGACATACGAAACGGACTTCGCATGGAGGTCAGTGGGAGGTACAGTCAGGGACCTGGTACTAGCAATGTTGACTGGGGGCAGCTGGAGCAGCAGGGTAGTGTGGCTCACCAACTACACTGTTAAAAATAAAGTTGTAATTTAGCAGTAAATATGTTGCTAATTTTCTGAATGATTTAAGTTGTTTCCAAATGACTTTAGTTGTTTACAAACGACTTGCGTTGTTCGTCAACAAGATGGTTGTAAACCAGTAGACAGCCTTATTTGCATCAATTTTGATTGCCGATTAGGTCACAGACCTAGTGAAGTCCCAGTGACCCGCAGTTATCACTTCTTAGATTGTCCGAGTTGTTTGAACACAGCAAAATATTGTTTTGAAACAGCATAAGTCAGAAAAATAATTAGCAACGAATTTGTCGTTTTAAAACAAGAAAACTTGTTTATAAACAACAGCGTTGTCGAGGTTGGTTATTGTGTTGTTGTTTTAAAACAACCATTTTTAACAGTGTAGGCGTCGTCGTGCTCCTCCTGTTGTCGCAGCCGTTCCGCCCGCCTCGCCTGCGCAGCGGCGCGGCGTTCTTCATATGGGTCGGGTTGGTGAAGCAATTGAAGCGTGCGCCGGGCCCACTCGGACCTGTCGCGGGCGGCTTCCCTCCAGTCAGCAGCTCCGAGTGACTCCGCGTCGCGTTGAATTTGCTCCTGCAGGCGGAAGGGTGGGCGACCGCGGGGAAGCTTCGCAGGGGGCGGCTTGTCGAGGGCGGCGCGCGTTATGGCAGGGGCGGATCCTCGCGCGGCGTGGCTGGCGTACTGGAGGCGGGTGCGGCGGGCCACGTTGAGAATCGGAGGCACGCCGGTGAGTTCCCGCACCTCCCTGTTGCTCCTCCACACCGATGGGGTGAATAAAAATTTTTAGTCGGTCGGTCCCCTTTTTTGAAGATTGAGTGGATTTTGTTGAATTTAGGTCTATTAAATTGTTTTTTGAGGATGTTGCCGGTGACGGGGACCCGATTGCGGCACAGTTTCGGAAATGTCTCGACCAGACCTACCGATGGGGCGAATAAAAATTTTTAGTCGGTCAGTCCCCTTTTTTGAAGATTGAGTGGATTTTGTTGAATTTAGGCCTATTTAATCTTTTTTTGAGGATGTTGCCAGTGACGGAGACCGGATTGCGGCACAGATTCGGAAATGTATCGACCAGACCTACCGATGGGGCGAATAAAAATTTTTAGTCGGTCGGTCCCCTTTTTTGAAGATTGACTGGGTTTGCTGGGAAACGGTGAAAAATTTTTTCCCCCTTTTTTTGTAGATAAAGTAGGTTTTCTCGGAAACGGTGAGGAATTTTCAATTTTTGGGGTTTTTTTCCCAAATTTTCCCAAAA